TCCCTGCTCCTGCAGGGGGATTGGACTAGATGACCTCTAGGGGTCCCTTCCAACACAAAACATTCTATGATTCTATCACAGCTCCTCACAGGGCTGTCCCAGGAGAATGATCACCCCCATGGCCCAAGTGTGGAACCCATCACCATTCCTCATCGGGAGCTCCCTGGATCACCTTGCAAACACAGAAGGGTGGCTGCCTAGGGGTGCAGGACACATTATGAGATGTAGGGAAGAGCATTTGGGGATAGCATAGGATTTATTATGGAATGTTTAGGGGAGGATCCAAAGGCAGGAAAAGGGGGGGATTTAGGAGATTTGGGGAGGAACAAGTGCGGGAAATAGACAGATAAGGGAATAAAGGAGTCTATTTGCATGTAAGCAGAGACTAGGCAGTATGCAGACCTGGGGCCAGACTAATCAGGCCTGAGTGCATGAAGCTGTAGCAGCCTCTCTCTGGCTATCCAGTGCAGCATCTTCTTCCAGCAATAATCTATGGTCTGGTTTAGGTATTTCCAAGTAATCCAAGTTACTGGATTTGCTTTCTAATGTTATATAGCAGCCTGGCAAAAAATTACTTCACGGATTTGCTGGCACAGATAGCTTTTACTTTTTCACTGAACAGTTAGCACAAAAGCTTACCACTGAATAGTTCCTTTTCACAGCTGCTCTTTATGCTGACTCTTGCACTTAAGCTTATTAGAAACCCTAGACTACCTTGGCTATACAAAGTGATCAGTCCTTCAAATCAAAGGAGTGGGCTCACACATCACTAACTTCAGCAAGTATTCAGTGGATCAGGGATCAAAGTTATCATCTTACCTCTCATATTCATCAACAGCTCTAGAAAGCTGAACAAAAAAATCATCCAGTCCTGTGCCGAGCACAGCAGAAACACCAACCACCTATAAAAGAAAACCATATACCAGAACTGAAGAGTAACTGAACCAAGTTCTTAGGTAACTGATGGACAATCAGAGCTGGAAAGACTAAGCAGTATCTTTCAAAAAAAACCAAAACCAAACCCTAAAAAACACAGGGGAATCTAATGATACCCATTTAATCATCACAGTGGCATAAGAGTACACACTAATACTTCTGCTTCTGTCATTCCTACTTTCAACCTCTTTCTCTGCCTGCTATTACAAGTTTGCTACCTCTGTTTTGAGTGGGTGGGTGGGTTTGTTTTCTTTTCTTTCTTTCTCTCTTATTTAACTCAGGAACCTGGGTCTTCCTGTATGTTTTACAAATTTTACGGGGCAGGCAGGCGGGGGGGCAGACAAGGGACGGACAGGGTAGCAACAGTTTTAAAAAAAAAAAGAAAACCTGACTCTCCACCCATCCTTGTGCCTCCAATCTCAATACCCCACAAAAACACAGTTAAGACAATAGAGTGCCTAAACATAACAAACAAGATAGGGCAATTCAAAAGAAAGATCAAGTCTTTCTTCTGTTTACTTGGTTATTGTCAATAATCTAAGTTCTCATCCTGAACCTAGTGTTCTAAGTGGTTAATATGACTGCTACAATATCAGTGTACTAGAATTAAAGAGCAAAACAGACCACAGGAACTGACCTTTTGACTCTGAAGTACTATCTAATACTTTGTATTTAGCAGAAGCACATCTTAAAAGGCACCCAATCCAACCCCCAGGATGGCAACAGATGGAGAATTGATTTTAATCAGTTCCTACAGCAATACATTCAAAATGCACATCTGCTTTCTCATTTGAACTTGTCTGTCATTACACTTCTGGACATTTATTCTGCTTTTATTAATTCAATTATCTAAAAATACTTTTAATTAAGACTATTACTAGCCGGTACCTGGTGACCATAAGAATCTTACATCCTCTAATGAAAATTCTCCCTCTTTTTCATAAGCAAGACAGTCTCAACTACTCACTTGCAAATGTAAGACTTCTTCCAACACAGCCTTGCTTTTTATCAATAGTACGGTGAGTAAGCAGACAGTCAAGCATTCCGAAGGATTTTAAGCATTAGTCTAGGCACTGTGCCGATATCTACTAATGTTTATACCTTCATTGCACTTAAGTACAAACTGCCTTCTACTCCATAATCCTCTGCATATGTCCTGCTCTCCAGTCTACTATTCTAATAGATATGACACGCATACAAACAGTTGATTGGCAAATAAGGACTAGGAAGCACTTTACTCCTGTAAACGGCACCACTGCAATCTGTTTTGAAATACTGTATATTGTTCCACATAGAGAATTTATAACGTTTTTGTTCTGGCTAAATTGTCATTATCTATGTGAATGGAATCACTTGTTTATTTTCGTGTCCTTTCCTGTAATATCCATAGAGCCATTTGCTTGCTTTTTCCAAGTAAAAGCTGATGAAAAACACAATTAGCTGAACCCTTTTAGCACAGACTATGGGATCATTAACATCCTCCAATGTATAGTGTTTTCAGAAAAACTGAATGGATTTGTCCTCTCAAAACCTGGTAAATGGAAAAAAAAAACCCCACTTTTTCTTGTGTCAGCAAATATACAAGAGGTTTGTTGTTTGGTTTTGAGATTCTTTCCCTTCTTCCTGTATAGTAAATTGCCCAACCGTACATGACGCTTTCAGAACAAGGAAAATTATCTCAAATGGGAGACACTGCAACACAGATCACCTCTTAACAGCTTATCTTCGCTTTCTTCTGATGATTAATCACAATCAGTATTAAATGATTCAGGGTGCCACTCAGTGTGACAAGCAACTAAAGTTACTTTATGTTCAAAACAGCAAATCCTCACCCCCAACACAAGGCTCATCAACAGATTCCAATTCAAAAGGGCAGTGCAAAGCCCTTTCATAGAAGGACAGAATGGATGAGGTGGGAAGACACCTCTGGAGATCATCTAGTCCAACCTCTCCTGCTCGAAAAGCAGGATTAACTAGAACAGGTTGCTCAAGATCTTGTCTGAGCGTGTTTTGAGTATCTCCAAGGATGGAGACTCCACAATTTCTCTGGACCATCTGTTCCAGTGCTCAATCAGTAAAATTACTTTTTTCCTCTTCTGTTTAAACATAGTTTCCTGTATTTCACTTCGTCTCTACTGCCTCTTCAGTGGTGCCCAATGAAGGGACAAAAGAGCGTGCCTCTGCCATCTTTACATCCACCCATCAGGTATTTATACACATCAATAATATCTTCCTTGAGCTTTCTCTTCTCCAGGCTTTTATGAGAGGTAGTAAAAAGAGGAAGATTCTTACCTTCAGTGAACTGTAAAATTCATCCAACACTAAACTCATAGAACGAGTCAGGTTACTGACATAGGATGTCTCTTGATTCAGGGCATCCTGAAAAGTCTCAAAGTCCTGCATCCATTCTACTGCAAAACTGTGGTCAATGATGTCAGTCTGGAAAGAGAAGAGAACATTTTCAGAAGTAGTAATGATGAATTCTTAGCCTTAGGCTGTTAAGTAGACAAATAAAAAATTTCCATTTTAAACTTACTTTCAAAATGCTGATATTTTCAAAACATTCAGCCCTGGTCTGAAGTTTTCCAAGCCCTGTTTTTATCAAACCGACTATGTGAATACAGAAGAGAAGACAAACAGCCACTATCCCAGTTTTAAGAAGGTGTGTTTAAGGAAACAATTGCAAGTCTAAAGGCTTCTATGGTTTACTAGAAAGGGACATCCAAAAAGTGCATACTGTACAAGAAAGTTTAAGTTGTAAATATTATCACCAGGTTTGTTGCCCTTCTCTGGACACACTCCAGCCCCCCCAGGTCCTTCTGGGAGGGAGGGGCCCAACCCTGAACCCAGCACTCAAGGGGCAGCCTCACCAGTGCCCAGCACAGGGGCACAGTCACTGCCCTGCTCCTGCTGATCACACCAGTCCTGATACAAGCCAGGATGCCGTTGGCCCTCTTGGCCACCTGGGCACACTGCTGGCTCATATTCAGGCCCCTGTTGACCAGCACCCCCAGGTCTTTTTCCGCTGGGCAGCTTTCCAGCCCCTCTGCCCCACGCCTGGAGTGTTGCGTGGGGTTGCTGTGGCTCAAGTGCAGGACCTGGCCCTTGGCCTTGTTGAACCTCACCCAGTTGGCCTGGGCCCATGGATCCAGCCTGGCCAGGTCCCGCTGCAGAGCCCTCCTCCTCTCAAGCAGATCCACACTCCCACCCAGCTCAGTGTCATCTGTGACCTTACTGAGGGTGCACTGGATCCCCTTGCCCAAATCGTTGATAAAGCTATTAAACAGAACTGGCCCCAATACTGAGCCCTGGGGGACACTGCTTGTGACTGGCCACCAACTGGATTTAACTCTGTTCACCACAGCTTGCTGGGCTTGGTCATCCAGCCAGAAGCTTCCATCGGAAGCTCAGAAGTTGTTTTTAAAATTTTCTGCCTAAATTTGGTTTGTGATAGACAAACAGTGTGCAATACGTAAATGGCTTGTGCTTGGCAATACGAAACCAGACTGAATACAGACAGGGTAGCCAGAATGGTCAGTATTGCCAGCTTTGCTTATAGTCATTTTCGTCTGCCTTTTCCTGCAGGGGTGACAAGAAGGTGATATGCAACAAGTTCATCCAAACGGTGAGAGCCAAACTCCTGTTTAACTCCATTTTGTCCAGCATATGTAGGATAAAGACAATTGGATGTCCCCCTGCCAAGTACTCACAGGTGTGCTTGGCCAAACTGTCAGTGGCACCTGATCTCCGAAAGGAGAGGTGTGCCTCTCCCAGGTACAACACAGTAATTGATTGCTAAATGATCAATGCAGTCAATTACAAAACTTTCAGGACTCCTTTAGGCACCAGTGGGCAGAATGTTTTAAGGGAGCTGAAAGGGAAAATATGAGAGACTCTGATCCCAACTGTTTTTCACAGGTTGGCAAATCTAAGCCCCAAGATTCCATATTAACCAAAATGTAAAGTGTACAGAATTCAGTGAAACTGCACAGTTTCCACGTGTTCAAAGTCCTCAGGTTTGTCATTTCAGTCAGGTTGTCTCCTTGGCTGCCTTTGTGTTCTCCTCTAACTCTGCCCGTGTGTGTCAGAGAGCACTCTGCTCAGTAGGTCCCTGGCAAGGGCTGTAAGTATCTGGAAAAGGCAAAGGTGTTGTCAATGCCTTGCACAGAAAGCCATCTGTATGAGAAAATACAGTGCACTGACTCGTTCTTTTACCTTCGGGAGCAAATGCCCAGCAGCTGCCCCAGGCTTTCCGTCCAGTTGCCATCACACTATGACCCCCACTTTTTCTGTGTCACTAGAGGAGTTCTCTGCTATGCAGGCCCCTAAAGGAGCCAGTGCCAGTTAGGAGTCATCATCCTCCTGGGCCAAACCCCCAGAAGACGTAGGCAGAGCTGCTCCTAGTGAAGTTGCTGGAGATCCTGTGCCAGGCATTCTCAGGTGAAGAGCAGCCTCAGCCTCTGGGTTGAAAGCCCACATCTCAGGGCTGGGTCGTGGCCCACCACTGCAGCTCGTAGGGTGGCTCAGGAGGGCCTTCTGGCCTCCCCGAACACTTGCTCCTGGCTGTGGGAGCGGAACCTGTGTAGTTCTGTTGCTCCGGTGGTAAGTGAGGAAAGCTGTTGGTCAGCCTTTGTTTCTCTGTGGTTGAGGTGCTGCGCAGGTGGTCGTGACATGAACCCTGTCATGAGGAAAAGAGAGCAAGAGGGGCTTGGTGTCCACTTGTCCCTTTCCTGAACATCCTGGTCATCCCGGGTGTGGGTACCTGTAGCCCCACTGGAGCATCCTCTCGTTGGCTTTTGCCCGCTGCCTGCCTGCTGGCAGGACCAGCGTCCAGCCCCTCTGGCTCTCCTTGGCTGCAGCGCCTGGCTAAGGCCTGGTGGGAGGCTGCTTGCCTCTCGCAAGGCTTAGATGCTGTGCTCAGGGTGCGTACAGTTTTTTGTGTTTTTAATGTAGTGGTTCATTTCTCTTCTCGCTCATTCTCTCATTTTCCCCATGACTTTTCTACCATTTCTGTCATAACAAACCCTTTATTTTTTCTAGTGCTGTATGTGTGGTTTCCTACCACTGTATCCAGTTCTCTCCTGTAACTAAGTGTTGATATTTACAAATTTTTGGTGAGTTCAGTCAAGATGAGAGATAATTTATTGAGCCGTTTCCCTCTCCTGCCATTTGAAAAACCTGTTGGGCTCTTACACATCTTGTAAGTGCAGTGACACTACTCTGCTCTGCTGGCAAGCAAGGCGTCCCACTCGAGGGCCCGGATGAGTATCTGCAAGCCTGGCTGCGTTACACAAGCTGAGCACATTATCACTTGATGAGCCTTGCTTCTGAGCTACCACTGGGCTGCTTGTGGTTGTGTAAGGCTGAAAATAAGGCTCTGGCAGATAATGAGAAATAGTGAAGTATACGGATGTCTGGGAAACAGCTGTAATAAAAATGGGTCTTGGTCATTGGCTGGACATATAAATCACGAGCAGCTTTGGTATCGAGGGTCATTTTGGTATCTGATTTCAGCTGTTTGCTGATGTGAACGGTAAGAGTGGGAGATAGAAAGTGAGATGAATAAATTAGGCTGTATATGTGTCTAAAGCAGGCCCAGATGTTCAAAATGGGACAGATGAGCCAGTGAGGCTGGTGCTGGAGGCACAGTGCCAAACACCAGCCTTCATATTGACTGGAATTCTTCAGTTTAAATGTGAAATGGCTATGTTAACTCTCTTGATCCTCTATTACAATTGGGTTTCATGCTCAGCTTTATTCGTCCTGACCCCATCTCAGATTTTGAGAACACCTTTGGTTTGGATTTAACGAACCTGTTCCTACCTGACCTACTTGGTAGCATCGGATAACCACCTTGCTTGTAAAGGAAAAAATGAAAATAAAGTCTGTTTCTGATTCATCAAATGAAAATCCAATTTACAAATGTTCTCATATCTATTGCAGAAGCTAGCAGAGTCAAATTATTTTTATGTTTTATACTTGTTGTTGCAAAAAAAAACTTGCACAATAGCCGTGATTTTGTACATTCCACAATAGCATCTGGAAAACCACACATCTGAACACACCTGATATAGCTCTGATGCCCTGCTTTAGCCCTCTGAGTGTGTTAATTTACCCCAGCTCACTATTACCTAGTTCAAGCTTCAGCATGGAGGGCCTCAATCCTGCGTTAAGGTCTGTCCAAATGCCCCCATCTCTCCTCTTTGTTGGTCTGAGTGGTCTTACTGTTCATGAGCTGTCTTATGTAGCAATGGGGCAAGAAGCTTTCTAAGTAGGTTGGAGCTCATCTCTCCTTTTACCTTCTCCTTGGCAGAGTGCTGTGACCTGCTTATCGTGGCCAGCGGAGAATGTCATTGTCTTTGGTCTCGCTGAAGGAAAGGTAGAGAAACTTGTTATTTGCCTGGTTTACCTTTCCATGCAGGGGCTACCAGGGCTTGCAAGCACCTGGGCTGTAGGGAAGGAGCCATTACTATGTGGCACTGGGCACGGAATAGCAGCAAAGGGATTGCACCACTGACTCCAGTGTCCTGGTTCTGGTTCCCAATTAGTCCTTGGAGGTTCTGCTGGATCATTTGGTCCTTTTCCCAAGCCCTTCTACAAACGTGGAAGTGTAACTCCAATTTTTCCACTTCTTCTCCAACCTACCGTAAAGCAATGAGCTTCCTGTTATTTCTGGTGTGGGTCATGGACTGGGGGAAATTCATGTTCTGCAGACAGGAGCAACATTGAACAGATTCTCTTTCTCAGGTTCGTTTAGCAAACACAAAGAACAACAAGTCTTCCACCATTTATGGGACGGATTCCTACGTGGTGTCGCTAACGTCCAAGTGAGTATGGCATTGCCTTAGCCTGCACTGCTTTGGCTCAATCTTCTGCCTGCTGTTGGGCCTGGCAGAACTGGCGGCAGCACGGGAGGTTGCCAGAGTGTCTTTCTGCTGTCAGTTCCTTGTCGAGATAATAAAACACCGCGCTTCCCAGAATGAATTCCTTCCTAAAATCTGGTACCTGCCTATGCCACGCGGGCTCATGCAGTTTGCTGTCCCATGGACATGTTTCAGGATGCAAGTCTCTGTGAGATTACTGACATAGATTGACTCATTTGAATCCATGACGTTATAAAGATTAAATTTGTCAACTCATCTAGCTTTTTACTAACATTAGTCAAGTTTAAGGACTAAAAAAAGTAAAAATAATCTGCCAGATGAAACTGTGACAAGGATATAAATTAGAAAATGAGCCACAAAGTACAACTTTAAATTATTTTAATTAGATTTAATGTTGACTATTTTAGTTTCCATTACCTGAGAAATTTAAGATATGTCATGATCCTAGCTGTGGGATTTTCACTAAATGGTGTCATTCTTGTTTTTGAATGCTAAACAAATTAAAAAAACCTAAAGCTAGCCTAGGACTCTGACTTCCTACTGTTGGGAAGTCCCTCCAAAGCCTGTCTGTCTCTGCCTCTATTCC